TTATATTACTGTCATCGCTATAATTCATATTTTGTCTGATGATTTCTTGCTCATTTGAGTTGTAATGTATAATATATATATATATGATAAGGTACAAAACTTATTGTAAATTAAGGTTGACATAAACTAGTCTCTTTAGACAAGCACCCACCCTTGATCTACAAGATTGTCTTGGACGAAACAAATCATGACTAAGGATTGTTGGATTAAGTTGAGTCGATTGCCTCCTCCGCCTAAGTAAACTAGAGACCATGACAACTCGGGATGATAGAACTAAGGGATCTTAATTGGTTTTGTCATTATTTCCCCCCTATCCACTTTAACTCATGGTGATAAAATATTTTATAATCTAAAACCCTAATTTTTTCTACTATATTCTAAGTGATCAACACACTAGCTATCTTTAATTAAAAGTGCTTTCATGTTATTAAGAGGGGTAATTAATCATGGAGACTTGTGCAAATGGGAAACATAGGATCCCATATCTAAAATCCTCATAAAATAAGAGTGAATCTCTGGGTAAAATTTTATCTGCAAACTCATCTGTCTTTTGAAAATTTGACCCAAAACAACAGGTAAAACTCTTTCATTCGTCTTGGAGTGAGGTCAAAGCATGAATTTTTGGAGCCCACAAAAAATAATTTTAGTAATATTTAAGATCTAAGAATTATAATGAATCAACTATTGAGTATAAAAAAAGTCACATAATCCCAATGCTAGATATCATTGATCATGTTGAAAATATTAATCGCCAACAAAAAAAATGGCACACCAAAGCTGACAGAATTTAAGTTTAGAAATTTTGATGCATATGGCCAATTATGTTGAGTAGAAGAAGTGCATAATAGTATAACCTCTAGGCGACGAGTATTTAGAGATAAAAACTTCATATTAGCAAATTTTAAGGGATTCCGATGCCGTAGTGCGTTGGCCATGGAAGTTCGGATCAAACAAGAAACAAAATTGTTGCAAATTGAAAGTTATGAATACTTAACCTCATAGGACTGTGAGGACTCTAGTAATCAACAAACTTTCTTCATTGGTTTCTTTTCTCAGTACCATAGCACCCAAGTGACATCTAGGTTTCATCTATGTGTTGATTGTTAATTTCATTTTGTTCATGTCCAAGAACTCTACCCATGTCCATGTGCTGTAAATTTATATGTGATCTATTACATTTGACTAGATCTTAATGGATTTTGAAAGTTAGTGTATTTTGATCATACATAGAATATTGGATTTTCTCTCAATCTGTATGTGAACTTTTGGTGATGAATTCTTCGAGCTCTTTGCGGGTCTTTAAAACTAATTTTAATGGTGAGTCTCCCTATATTAGTATAAATTCTTGATCTTGATTCGTGCTATTTCTAACATTATTCTTTCTATCTACTTGCCTGTTGATTGGTTTGTGCATGTGATCAAATTTTGTCAAATGTGATGCATGCAATATTCTTTTTTAGCATGGATCTTGATAACTATTGAAATTTTATAATTTCTTTGTTTTCTTGTGATTTTTCAATTTTTTGGTGTCAATATAAAATCGAATTGTTAGGAATGTAAGCGTGACATTCGAATCCAAAAAATGCAGGATTGAGTGTCAAAGCAAGGCCTACATGAATGACTTATGACATCCTTCTAGCAAAAGCATGTAAAATATTGGAGAACTCCACCATTAAACATGCTCATAATTGAGCACTCCTATATTGAGTGACCTCTTGGGAAGTTATACAAAAAATATAAAGAGAAATTTACATACATAGCACACAATTCTTATGTATTTACATATACATATCTCACATTTACATATCTCACATCTAAACTTTCATGTTTACATACATAGCACTTTGGTGCTATAAAACTATGCATGAGAAGATGTATTTCACTTTTTAAATATAGTAATAGTGCTATTTTTGTTGTGATAGTAAAAATTTGATTACTATGTTTTAAATATGAAAGTTTAGGTGTGAGATATGTAAATAGATAAGAATTGTGTGCTATGCATGTAAATGCCTCAAATATAAAACAATGAGGTTTAAACCGGTAAAAAACATATAGAATGTATTCAGTCTTTATAGAAAAAAGTCACACCCCTTTTTTACATGTAAACTAACTAATCTCTCTTAGGTTGAGAATTGACAACCCATGAAGAGTTATTTTTCGTGTATTTTCAATGAGCATTTCATGCTAAATTGCATTGCTGAACTCTAAACACTTATGCGTCATGCATCAAATTGATATTAAAGCTTATGATTATGTCATCATGTCAACTAAAAGTAAAACATATACTCAGACAAATAAAACACTAATAAAAGAATGAATTTAAACAAAATTGAGTAAGTCATGGTTCTGTACAAACACAACGAAACTATCATGAAGATATAAATTACATTTCTACATTTGATGGGATACATAATGTAGAGGAAATTTTAGGCTAGATAGATAACTTTAAATACTATTAAAATTAGCATTTGCTTGATTTGAAAGACATGAATGTCCTGAATCAAAAATAAAAAATCATGCTTAATTGTAAAGGTGAAGTATTGCAATGAAATTAAACCTGTATGAGTTGACCTAAAACAAAATATAAGCGGTAACATATGTTATTTGATAAAGGGGTCAGTTGCATGAACAAGTTAAGATTTATAAACAAGATGAATGTGGTGTATATGAACACTGTGATAGCTTTATGAATTTTATAGCTATTATCCTAGGATTCTACCAAATCACATGGTAAATGATGCAATATTTTATTCTTTCTTCTATAATACATCCTCAAAATTAAGGACAATCATTTCTTTATTTCATTCATATATATTTTCTGGTACATAATCACCTACATTGTAGTGAAAGCTATCAAGTTGTTTTAAATAGCTTAACATGGTATTAGAGGATGGCTAATGAAGAGTCATCAAGACTATCTTTTCTCGCACTCCTTACATCCACCACAAAGTGCTCATTTTTTTGAATTTTGTGTGTGCTCGTTAGACTCAATCATCCAATAGGTTTATTTTTTTCCCAGCCATCCAATAGGGAGCTGCAACCTGACTCCACGTATTTCCCATCACACTCACCATAGTGTCGTGACTCCACACTCCGCAGGATTCTCATTCACATGCCCCTTGTGCATGTTGTTGCTTGGTTTCTACTACATGCGGATGTGTTTGTAAAATGGTCTCATTCATGGATTGCTCCTTTGCAATCTCATCGTTGGCCTCTTGATTTATGTTTAACCCATCATTATTCTCTTTCTTCTATATTGTGCTCATTGATGGCTTCCTTTACTAATTTCTCAAAAACTAAACCATTCTCAAATATTGGTATTATTATCAAACTTAGTGGCACAAACTATTTCTTGTGGATTCAAGCATTTTTTTTTTCTTTATTCGATGTTTTGAGATACTTTATTATGTGGTCTCTTTGACTAGCAAATAAATGGAAATTACTAAATATACAAAATAACAAGCCTTTGACTATGTGATTCTGACAAGGATGCTCGATAGTATCAAACTTATGAATGCTTTCTAACATCATGTTTAAGGAGATTGCCAGAGGGGTATGGGACTTTCTTCATTCCACATACTTCCAAGAGAAAAACATCTCTATTAGAACTTCATAGTATAATTTTTTCTCTTTACAATTGTACAATAAATATATTCAAGATTAGTACATTATCTTGAAAGGCAGGTCATATGAGCTTCTTCAATATCGCCCATTTATCACTACAAGTCTTTAAAATTTAACAAGCAAGAAATTGAATGAGATAATGATAAGGCGTTTACAATTTTGTAGGGCATTGTAATTAACAACTAAAAATCATAAATATAATTTTTTTGTGTTAATTTAGTCTTCATTGTGTTTGATTTGACATTATTTCAAATGCTTTAGATTTTTAGTCCTATAGCATGTTATTGTCTCAATTTTATTGCTATTAATCATGCTAAGATTCAATTTTTTTCAAGAATAAAAATAAACCAATGAAAAGCTACTTATGGGAATTTGATTAAGCTAGTGCATCAATTGCACTGCAAAAAATTAATTGTTCGCTAATTTTCAAAATTCATTTTTTTGTTTCTATGAATTTAGTCATTTGTTGCATATCCATTGGCACAAATTCCCATATTTTCTAGTTTGCAACTAAAAAGAGTAAGTTTATACATTTAGTGATCTTTTATCGATAAATTCTAATTTCTTGAATGGTTTATACTCATTTTATCATTGTACTAGCAATAGAAACCCGAAAATCTTAAGCGTCCCGCATCATTTAGAATAAAATTTTAACATATTCTCCTAATTCCATAATTGTGTTTATGATGGATCCTGAATTTTAATTTCTAATTGGTAGCTCCATTTATGACAAATGTTAATCAATTTTTTGGAAAAATAACACCTAAATCCAAACCCCACATTTCATTTATCAATTCTAGAGATTCGAAGGGAATGCCTTTTTACTTATATAATTTCATCATCCAAAGACAAGAAACATAAACCACTTCAAAGTTCAATTAGCCCTCTCATCCCATTCGTGAATGTTGCATCACCTTTGGCTTTACATACTATGTTGAACAGCAAAAGGGTAATATCCATAAAAAAAGTAGAAACAACAACGAAAATAAAAGTAAACTGGAAAAAGGATTAGCTCAAGGTCACCATTTTTACAACTAATTACAAAACACTAATAATATAACAAAATACAAAACAAAAAATAAAGAAAAAATTAAGATAGAGATAATAAAAAGGGGCATTTACATACATACCACCCAATTTATATGTATTTATATATCTAACACCTAAATTTTATTTTTTACATCTATACCACCAAAATCATTCATATCACATCAAATATACCACCATGTTAACTCTTAAAATGTAAAATACACCTTTCATGCATAGGTTAAGTGCTATGTTTGTAAAAATTGAAGTTTAGGTATTATGTATGTAAATACATAGGAATTGCATGGTATGTATGTAAATCATACAAATAAAAATGGTTTAATACTTACTGTCTTGTCACGATTTGAAGCAATTGATGGCATAGGATGAATGCTGAAAGACTTAGCATTTTTATTATGATTTTCAATGGCATTACTACCCTCAATGGGTTCAGGCAACTCAACTGGAATGGAGTTTTTCCCTGGAAAATATTCAACCATTTTCTTAGCTGTCTGAAATAAATAATGCAACCTGAATCTATGTAAATTTTAAGAACTTATCAAAACCTAACCCTGATTTCTTGATTAGAAAAACTCACTGGTGCATGGTAGCTAACAAAGAAAGTCTTCATCAGCCACATCAGTCTCATATTCTTTATATTGTATTCATTTTTTTCTTACAGTACTATTCATACTTTAATTAAATAAAATATAAATCATGAAAGCGTGAAAGAAAAAAAATGAAGTAAGAAAAACCATAACATCATTTTTGTCAACATGTTATTCTGACAAAGTAGGGAAATGAGTATGGAACCACTGGAAATTATGAGCAAATAAATAAATGATTGATGAAACCAGTAAGCATTGTACCAGAGCTTATATAATGGAATCTTTATAACTAGCAAATTACATAGAAGTTTATATATTTTTTCACATATTATTTATGATCATACCAGAACAGAGTCCCAACAGTCTGCGTCTCCTTATGCTAACCATGGTTCACAACAGTATACCTATGTAAAAAGGGAAATCCAGTAAGCAAAACAACTGTTATATCTGAATGAAAAAGAAATGTCATAAATAATTAGAAATAAAAAAAGTTGCTTGTAAGCACAGAATAATCCAAGGTGCCACACCGATAACAAAGATGAATTCATTGGCACAAATGACATAACAACAACCAGGAATAAATTCTTATCAGTTTTCTATGAACTGCTCGGTTATCTCAGGATCTGCTCTGATTCTCTTTGAACTTAGGGAACCTCATTCTATTAGCACCATTAAAAAATTGGAACATTTACATGCATACCACACACACACACACACACACACACACAACACTTTACCTATGCATGAAAAAGTGTATTTCACTTTTTTGAAAGTTAAATTAGTGGTATTTTTTTATGTGATATAAAAGATCTGGGTGGTATAAATGTAAAACTTAAAAATTTATGTGTTGTATATGTAAATAAATAAAAATTGGGTGGCATGTATGTAAATGCCCCTAAAACATTTTGCAAAAGTCTGCTCAAATTCATTAATTGTTCCCACCAGTAATACCAAATGGCGATTCGACATCAAGACACATTAGTTTCTACAAAACATTATCGGCAATATAGAATGCCAAATCGTTAAGGTTTGTAATGGTTCATTCTCCATCAGCAAAGTAACGCTATAATATCTCTGGCCAGGACTATATGAAGCGGAATCACAGAAGGATCAGGATCCTCTTCGATGTACTTCAAGCATATAAATTGTTTGCTGTGTTATGATTCCACAATCTTTTCATTCTAATAAAAGTTTCTTTATTCTGCACAGTGAATGGATGTCACAAGGCTTGTACTATTTAAATGTCTTTCTTTAGTATTTGACAAGAATTGATAGCATATTTCACTCTAACATCGAGTAAAGTGCCAAAATAATTCCTTGACTATTTACATTTGGCCATTTCAGTCCCCGAGTTTATAAAAAGAGTCAAATTAGTCCCCAAACTTTTTAAATTGGGTTTGAAATAATCATCAACCCATATTAAAAGGGTTGGGGATTAAATTGACATTTTTATAGACTCTGGGACTAAAATGACTCCATACAAAGAGCCACGGGACACTTTTCACACTTCTCTTCCAACATTTGTGTAACATTTATACAAACCTATGAGAACTTGTAATAAGAAACATACAAAATCAGAAAATAATAATAAAGGAATAATTACAATAATCCCAATGATTGGTGAGATGGCATCAAAGATCCCATGGATTCATAAGGTCCTAACCGATTGGGCACTAAGGCAAAGGACTAGCAGAGCGAGTGCTAGCTAGGCCAGGGTATTCTCATTAGATTGCATTGCTCTATGTTATCGTACGATAAACAACTCAACTCAATAATCTATAACTCTTTCGATTGAATGTAACAATCCCAAACATTCAATCAGAATGGAGGAAAATTCTTGTCGTTAACATCTACTAGCTAACTAATCACAATTGAAGTGCATAAAAAACAATTCAGGCACCTTGGATTACAAGCACGACTAATATATTTTAGATCCATTTCATTTGAGCTAAAACCATACAAAGCACGACTAGAAATATCATTCTATCATGGTAAGAGTACATGACCACATAATCCAACTTTTGTTTCAATTTTATCAACAAAAATATATCAGAAATCAAAACCTTTCCATAATCTAACTTCTGTTTCTCTTTTAGCAACAAATGACACAAGTCATGAAAGTATCATATAACCAATAAGAGATGCATCTAACTAAAACATATATCTATTAAACAAATTGGAATCATTATGGTTGATGTCAAGAATATTTGAATAAACTCAAAGGTCAAACACAATCAGTTACTGAAGGATGAGAAAAGAACTAGACACATAACATAATTCCATTTAATCAAAATATGATTAAATTCAAAAAGACAAAGTTCCTATTTTATTTTTCATATGAGAATCATTTATACAAGCATCTTCTTATAAGGAAAGATAAAAACACATAATTCAAGGGGTGAATATGCTAAAAGGGAGTAGAAGAAGAAGAACAGATAATTATTATGTTAAGAGAAAAAAAAGAAACCAAACCCATCAGGGTGACCAGAGTTCCTCAACAATCTTCCACCTATCCACTCATGAATCCATCCAGATCACCTACCAGCCTATATTCTTAAACTTTCAACATGCAGACCCGAAACTGACCATCTCTGAAAAACTAACAAAGTACAGAACAAAAACAAAATAAAATATAATTTGGCATCCTGCAAATTCTGACTCTGAAAATTCAAACCATGAAGACTAAAAACCAACTTAAATTACAACGCGCAGAGGTAAACCAAAACTAAGGTGGCAGCCACCCAACCAACTCAACAAAATAACAATGATAATAAAGAAGGAAAAGCTCAAACAAGAAACAAAATGTTGGCTACATTAACAACCACCAATAAATCACCAAGCAACAAAACACACAATACAAAGGCACCAATCCAACCTTTCCAATCCACCAACCACCCAAATCTCCTAAAATCCAATCCCCCTCTCCGACCACATCAATCAAATCCGAAAAGAAAATCAACAATCTTCAAACAAAAGCGCAGAAACCCAACTCCATCACATGCACAACACCAAAACGAAATCAAAAAGAAAAAAAAAAAAAAAAAAGACTTAACTTCTCCTCTCTTGAGGGACCGAAGAGAATAAAGATCGGACCTTTTAAGTGCTGCGGCGGACGGCGGCCTGCGGCGGAGCTAAAGGAGCAGACTTTGGCATTCACCAACTTCTCTCTTTCTCTTTCTGTCTCTCTCTCTGCGTTAATATGCTTCGCTGCTACCGCTCTCTTTGTTCCATCCTTTCTTGTGGGGTTGGAAGAGATAGGGGACGTATGTTATGCGTTGTTTTCTGCTCCCATCTGTTTGCCCGATTTTACCCCTGACGGTATCCATCGTAATTCCTAAAATAGCCGAGCAAATTTGCAATTTTAGCCGGGAAAAAACTCAAAAAGAAATATGAGGCCGCCGGCGCCGCGGTGAGATAAATCTTATGTTTTTTTTTTTATAATTTTTAAAATGATTTTTTTAATATATATATATATATATAATTAATATTTCTTATAAGATAAAAATATGAAAATGATTAACTTTATAAAATATTATGAATATAATCATAAAAGTTTAGGTGTTAGATATGTAAATAGAAAAGAATTGTGTGGTGCATATGTAAATCTTGCTAAGATTTTTGCCCAATATGGGAATTGGACTTTAAATAATTTTGATTAAAAAAAAACATGTTACAAAATAGGATATAATACAATGAAATATATTATCATCCTAATTTTGTACATTTTTTTTACACAAATAAGTGTTTTTTAAATAATATTTAAATTTTAAATAAAAAAATTTTAAAAAGGAAAAAAAATGGAACTCGACTGGGTTGCGATATACTCCCATCTAAATGAAATTATAGAAGTGTGCTCTATTTTAAATAATATTTAAATTTTAAATAAAAAAATTTAAAAAGGAAAAAAACATAGATATCGACTGGGTTGCAATATACTCCCATCTAAATGAAACTATAGAAGTGTGCTCTTCCAATACAAAATTGTATCATTTCAAACATAACATACCTGATTGTCATTAGGCAATGATAGAATTGCAATACGATGATAGTAGCTGGATATGGAAGTAGAATAATAATAGTTGAGAAATGATGATCGTGCAATAAATGTTAGGCAATAAGGTTCGAATGACAACAATTAAGCTAGGGTGACCACACAAAGGTAGACGGATGATGGCTACTTGGCAATTAATGTTGGTGATTATCTACATAAATCATCAAAAAGGGTTGCCATTGGATGTTTAAATTATCTTTAATTTATGTTAGGATCTCTTTCATTGTTAGGAATATTGTTTTATTTATAATTTTTTTACGTGTCGGAAGAGTTGGGACGGTAGAGTGAAAAATTAATGTCTTAGCATTGTGTGAAAACCCAATACAAACACACACTGAGATAATAGAAAAGTATCTGGGGAACCACCAAGATTGTTTATGTGGAAAACCTACCAAGGGGAAAAAATCATGGGATCTGGTCCAATCAAAATAATCCACTATGTGATTGTAACTATGAGTCCATTCTTCTCAGAATTTGGGTAGAAGAAATTACAAAGTTGATGTACAACAATAATTTAGCGTTAAAAGTTCCAATTGGGTTGTAAAAGGTCGTCTTTAAATGCTACGAAGGCAATGGTATGCTAAAAAAATTGTAGATTGTGGATAAAATAACATTAGTTAGCCACAAAAGTCGCAGTTGAAAGTTGTAGTAGCATTAACTGGCCACAAAAGTCGCTGTTGAAAGTTTTAGTAGCATTAATTGGCCACAAAAGTCATAGTTGGAAGATGTAGTACAGTTGACCACATAGATTGTAGTTGGAAACTATAGTAGCATCAGTTGGTCTTGTGAGCCGTAGTGAGAAGTTAGCCACATAGGTCAGCGTTAGTTAGCTATAAAAGCCGTAGTCGGAGGCTGTAATAACAATGAGTCACATAGGCCATGGTAGAGAGCTATAAAAGCTGCATGATCAGTGAGACACATAGGTCATAGTTGGTTATGTAGGCCGTATGGAGAGTTGCATAAGCATTAGTTGGCCACCAATGTCGTAGTTGGAAGCTACACTAGCAGTGTGTCGCATAAGTCGCAGTTGGTCACATAGGCTATAGTGGGGAGCTACAATAGCATTAGTTGGCTACTAAGGTCGTAGTGGGGAGCTACAATAACATTAGTTTGCCATGAAGGTTGCAGTTGAAAACTGCATGAGAAGTGAGCAACATAGTCCATATTTGGTCATATAGGTCGTAAGGGGGAGCTAAAATGGTATCATTCGGCCACCAGGATTGTAGTTGGTGCTACATTAGTAGGTGGTTACAATAAAAAAACAACTTGTTGATATGCAATGCAAGAAGAGAACTTCAATAGTACGAAGAAAGTCGATGTATTTTAAATACATCAGTTGTAAACAGTTGTTGTCCATCACTAGATCTTTGATATATCATTAATTGTCATCTTGTATTGGGGGTATGTCATTTCATTATATTTTGGATGTGTCATTACCCTATATTTAGGTTGCATATTTCATCGTATTCAGAGTTTGTCATTACATTATATCCAGGATGCATCATTACACTATATTTAAGGTGTTTCATTGCACAATATTTGGGGTGTATCATAACACCATATTCATGGTACATCATTACACCGTATTTGAGGTGCATTGTTATACTGTATTTTGAGTGCTTAGCTACACCACAGGTTCACCGACAATGGCGAGCAAAGGGTGGTCAGAGGTGGTTGATGGCATTTGGTGGACACGAAGATAGGAAATTATCACTGGGTCTTCGAATGCAAAACCAATCTTGAATTCTACTCCTCTTCCTTCTTCCAATCACTTCATCTAATGGCCTAAAATAGTTCCCTTGATTAGATGACATTTTAGAGACAGTTAAATACCTTAATGATGCAAAAATTTAGTGAACTTGGGCTCTTTGAATTTATTTCACTAAGACACTTGATTTGACCATAAGCTTGTCAATATTGAAATTCATGTGACCTTTCAATTGACTACCTAAAGCTTTCAAATTTGGTTCAATGGCTTGATTTGGGCAAGATTTGACTTATATTGAATCAATTTTGGTATCATTGAGTTCTCCTCGCTAAGCCTGCCATTTTGACTATAAGTTTATTGAAATTGGAGTTATGATTAATTTTTAATTTTAGTTTGAATGTTCATGCTAAAAAAATACCTCAAGATTCATGCCAAAATGCCTCGGGATTCACGTCAAATGGTGAAATTGATATATTAGTTGCCCCCTAAATTTTGAGTGATATTACTTGTGTCAGCCAAAAATTATTAAAACACTTCCAAATTCTAATAAAGTTTATGCCTAGCAGCAACAAGCGGTGGTTAACGGTGGAGGATGCCAACAACGGTGACCATCCACATGCGAGTGATATGTGGGCATTGCTTTTCTCCACCAAGTTAGTTAGACTGGCGGACCAACAGACACGTGGTGGTAGAGCGTGCTAGAGAGGATCAATCGGGCTAGTGCGCGTGGGCCAGAGACACGGGAGGGATGTGGACCAGTGTACACGGGTTTGGGCTTGCAAGGCTATGCAACCTAGTCACAAAATTGTATTTTCTACGATCTCTCCTTCTGTGAATGCCATGGATCATGCACAAGAGCTATGAATTCATTATTATTAAACAAATATGACGGGTTGTTGTTGGACAAATTGAATTTTGATAAATTTTGGATATTTTTAGCCATTTTAAGCCTATAAATAAGCCAAAAAGAGAGGAAAGAAATCATACTTGATCCCTAAAATGTTTGGAGTCCCTTAGCCTATTATTGAGCCCCTTTTGTGTTGTAGTTGCAGAATTCCTAAATTTCCCTTAGCTTATTGTTGTACCCCCTCTATGTTGGAGCTATACAATCTCAAGGTTGGTCTAATGTTGTGCCCCTTTTCCGTTGGAGTTGCGCTCTCCTAGAGTTTCTTTGGTGTTGTTATGGCGCTTCTGAAAGAAATTTTTAGCACTGCAATTGTGCTTTATGGAGGATGTTTTCCACGTTTTGAGATGCCAAGGTCCGAGGAATGACATCACCATAAAATTATAGAAAATAACATAATCCTTAGGAGTTAACATTGACAATTACCAGAGATGAGCTAGATCGTTTCATAAATGCATGGAACGTAGAGTTTATGAACATCAAATTTATTCTTGTAGAGTATAAATGGATTTATAACGGTAGTGCAAAGTATATATTAACCTTGGAAGATCAACTAGTTGAATGTAAGCCTGAATTATCCACCATGACATTTTTCTCTCCCTAAAAATTCAAGAACTAAAAAATAGTTGAGAAGAATTGATGGAGGGAAGAACCATTCAGTCAAAATACCGAGAATGTGCAAGATTTTTTATCGAGTATACAAGCTCTTGAAGAGGAAAATATAATGTTAACGACCCAGTGTGAAGGTTCTTAAGGATTCTAAAAAGGGTTTGATATGATGCTCTATTAGATGGAAGTTGACTTTAAGGACCCACCTACCAATCCCTCTTCTAACTCAAAAAATGAGAAACTAAAAATTACTTACAAGATGACATTCTTGAAGAGGAAGGAAGACTTTGATGTAGAATAAAACTTTTTGTTTTTAAGCATGTATTGGTGGTTTTTCCTTAGTACTTTTGTAATAATGTGTCAAAATTTTTAGCTATTCCTACATTTAATGTAGTCAGTGTGTTGGTTAATTTAGCTGTTTATCTACTTAATTTAGCCCTTTCTACATTGTGATAGTGCATCTTTGAAATCATATTACACTTATTCAGTTTTACAATTTCGTATACTACAGTACAATTATGAATTGTAAAATTGCTGGTAAGCTGAGATTTATAGCTTTTTTTAATTACTCAAATAATGTTAACCAGCTCTAGATTGTGTACTAGAGCTAAGAAAATTCCCTAGTTAGGGATGCACAATTTGTCCTAGTTTTTTTGGACAGAGATTCAGTTCGACGATTGTAACTTTCAATAGATGAATTTTATTATAATTCATCAAGGATGTAGGACCCAACATGGGTTGTATAACCGGAGATGCTCGTCGACTTTGACCTGTTATGGATAAAGTCATTTGAAAATCCACCAATCTTGTAATACCCATCCGAAGTTGTATAGCTAGAGATGCTTCATGATGTTAACCTATTTTGAATAAAGTTGAATGAATTCCATCAAGGATATTTGAACTATCCTGGTCTATTAGTTGAAGGTTTTTTTTACAAACATGGCCTGTTATTGAAGAGGTCAAATTGAATTTCCTAGGACCTATTAAACAAAGAATGAGATGTCAGAGTTGTCTCGCATTTCTTGACTCTGTGAT